TTCTAGAGTAGGCGCATGAGAGCAAAGCAAATTGTAAAAGCCCCTTACCCCATACACCATGTTCTCAATTCAAATCAGAGGCCCTGCATTTATAATAAAAATGAAAAGGAGGGAAGACACAGTTGCTTAGAGACAGATTTAAAGTAATGGCCAGTAGTTCAATCTAAGCACCATTTGGCCATGAAGATGAATCAAAATGAAATCTGCCAGTATTATTCTCCCCTTATGTAAGCCTATTGTGCAACCCGGCTTAGAAGACTTGTGTCCACTTCTTGTGCACCACATCTAAAAAAGGAGGATGTAACATTGGAAAAAGTGGAGAAAAGAGCAACTAAAATGCCCAAGGGGCTGTTGCAACTCCTCTTGCCAAGGAATATTACATGTGGAACTGTTAAGCATGAAGAAGAGGGAAGTGAGAAGTGTACAGAATTGTGCACAGTGTAGAAAAATTTGGCAGACTTTTTTTCCTCCCTCTCTCATAGTACAGTGGTACCTCGGCTCACGAACTTAATCCGTTCCACGACTCTGGTCATGACCCAAATTGGTCAAATTTCCCCATAATGTTCAATGTAAATAAGATTAATCCATTCTGTAAATATATTTTTTAATCACGGAAGACAGGCGCAATCTCAATTGTCACCAGAAGCAGAGTTTGCGACCTGAGGAAAAATTTTCCTGAAATTTCTGTTTGCAACCCGATTTGGTCGTGAACTGAGGCATTCTTGAGCCAAGGCACCACTGTACTAGAAATTAAGGTAGTCGGAAAATTGAGACCAGATTAAAGGACAGACTTCCACACACTGCACATAAACTGTGGAATTTGCTACCAAAGATGTTGTGATGGCCGTAATATGGACAGCTAATAAAGCAGGATATAAATCTAATAAATCAGGACTGGAAAAAATCAGGGGAGATAATCAGGGGAGAGCCAGTGTGGTGTAGTGGTTAAGAGCATGGGACTGGGAGTCAGACAATCTGGGTTCTAGTCCCCGCTCAGCCATGGAGCCAATTGGGTGACTTTGGGCCAGTCACAGACTCTCAGCCCAACCTACCTCACAGGGTTGTTGTGGGGATAAGATGGAGGAGGAGAATGATGTAAGCTGCCTTGAGCCCTTTGTAGGAAAAGGCAGGATATAAATTGAAAAATAAATAAATAATGGCTACTGGTCCTGATGGCTATATCCTAAGAGCAAAGTGCTTGGGTATATGATGGGGTATTTCTCTTCACTGAACCTTCTGTAGCAAGAGCGAAGAGTTGAGTATGAAAGCTTAGAACCAAAGAGCAGCTCTGCTGGGTGACCCCCAGCAGCATTGACATAACCCCCCCCCCCGGTTGCTCTATGCCTGCCCCTTTTGAGCAGCAAAATGCTGCCCTTCCCTTTCAACAACAGTGTGAGGGCAGCAGCTGACTGAGAAATGCAAGTGCAGAATCCCCCTGAGAGGCATGGAATGTTCTGATTATTTAAAACATTTATATGCCACTTCCAGGGCACTCTTATGCTCACCGGGGAGCCATAGAGTTTTTCAGAGACTCAATCACAAGCTTGGAAACTCACTTAGACTCTGTAGCTTGTTTTCTGAGCTTGATGCACCATCACAACTGGTAAAGAAAAGACCATGCCGGCTGCTTCTCTGCAGTTGCAAACACAGTTGTGGAGAAGGGCCTTTGTGAATGGAGAGAGCTTCCCTCACTTCCCTCATGCTTCCCTCACTTCTAAACCGCCATATTTAGAGGGGTAAAATCAGGCATCTTAAGTGTTTTGCAGGGTATGGTGCTTGCTGGGACAACCTTTGCCCCCACGCTCCTTCTGCCCTGCCTGGGATGCCCATCATCCTTCAGGTTCACAAGGCTCAGGACATTCCAAGTGGACTGTGACTTTCTTAATAGAACTATATTCAAAGTAGCACACAGAAATAATACTGAAAGCAAGCTTAAAAGCAATAGACACAATAATAATGATGATAACAACAATAATAAAAATTGCATTAAAGCAGAAGAAGCAAATAACAATTTGTTGTTGTTGCTAGTCGCAAAGTCACGTCCAACCCATCGCAACCCCATGGACAACATTCCTCCTGGCTCTCCTGTCCTTCACCAGCCCCCTGAGTCCACTTAAGCTCACACTGACTGCTTCAGTGACTCCATCCAGCCACCTCATTCTCAGCTGTCCCCTTCTTCTTTTGCCATCAATTGTTCCCAGCATCAGGGTCTTCTCCAGTGAGTCCTTCCTTCTTATTTGGTGGCCAAATTATTTGAGTTTCACCTTCAGTATCTGGCCTTCTAAAGAGCAGTCAGGGTTGATCTCCTCTAAGACTGACTGGTTTGATCTTGCAGTCCAAGGGGCTTGCAGGAGTCTTCTTCAGCACCCCAGTTCAAAGGCCTCAATTCTTCAGCGCTCAGCCTTCCTCAGGGTCCAGCTTTCACAGCCATACATTGCAACTGAGAAAACCATAGCCTTGACTATACGCACTTTTGTCAGCAGGGTGATGTCTCTGCTTTTTAATACTCTGTCTAGATTTGCCGTAGCTTTCCTCCCAAGGAACAAGCATCTTTTAATTTCTTGGCTGCAGTCACCGTCTGCAATGATCTTGGAGCCCAAGAAAATAAAATCTGTCACTAGCTCCCTTTCTTTCCCATCTATTTGCCAGGAAGTGATAGGACCGAATGCCATGATCTTAGTTTTCTTAATGTTGAGTTTTAAGCCAACTTTTGTGCTCTCCTCTTTCACCTGCATCAAGAGGCTCTTTAGTTCCTCATCACTTCTGCCATTAGAGTGGTATCATCTGCATATCTGAAGTTGTTGATATTTCTCCTAGCAATCTTAATTCCAACTTGTGATTCATCTAGCCTGGCCTTTCTCATGATGTGCTCTGCATATAAGTTATATAGGCAGGGCGACAGTATACAGCCTTGCCAAACCCCTTTCTCAGTTTTGAAACAATCAGTGGTTCCATGTCCAGTTCTTACTGTTGCTTCTTGACCTGCATACAGGTTGCTTCATTTTGTACTCCAAGGACAAACTTGCCTGTTATTCCAGTTATCTTCTGGCTTCCTACTTTAGCATTCCAATCCTGCATGATGATAAGGATATCATTTTTTTTGGTGTTATTTCTAGAAGGTGTTGTAGGTCTTCGTAGGTCAACTTCAGCCTCTTCACCATCAATGGTTGGGGCCTAGACTTGAACTACTGTGATGTTGAATGGTTTGCCTTGGATTCGAACTGAGATCATTCTGTCATTTTGGCGATTGTAGCCCAGTACTGCTTTTCCTCCTCTTTTGTTGACTATGAAGGCTACTCCATTTCCTCTGAGGGATTCTTGCCCACAGTAGTATACCTGATGGTCATCTAATTAAATTCACCCCTTCCTGTCCATTTTAGTTCACTGATTCCCAAGATGTCGATGTTCAGTCTTGTCATCTCATGTTGGACCACGCCCAGCTTACCCTGGTTCATAGATCTAACGTTCCAGGTTCCTATGCATCGGACTTTCCTTTCACCGCCAGATACATCCACAACTGAGTGTCCTTTCGACTTTGACCCAGTTGCTTCTTTCTTTCTGGCACTACTAGTACTAGCCCTCTGCTCTTCCCCAGTAGCACATTGGACACCTTCCGACCTGAGGAGCTCATCTTCGGGCATCATATCTCTTTGCCTGTTGATACTGTCCATGGGGTTTTCATGGCAAGGGTACTGGAATGGGTTGCCATTTCCTTCTCCAGTGGATCACCTTTTGTCAGAGCTCTCTGCTATGACCTGTCCGTCTTGGGTGGCCCTGCACGGCATAGCTCATAGCTTCATTGAGCTACACAAGCCCCTTCATCACGACAAGGCAGTGATCCATGAAGGGAAATAACAATTTAAAACAATACAAATGAAGTCTTAAATGGCAGTAAAACACACGATCAAACCATTAAGAGCCATTAAAAATCTAACCAAGTGTTTCTTCGGATGTTGGCTTATATTAGGAGTGAAATGTCAGCTGCTGCCTTGGAGAATAAGGTGCTTGGATAGTGCCGCATCAAGAGTAATTTATCACCTGTATCGCACATTTGTGCACAAATTGATTCCAGAAAATTAAATTATTGCAAAGTTATGCAGATCAGCACCTTCCACGATCTTTATTTTGTACAGTCGTAATCATTTTTCATGTTTTATATGCATGTTTTTAAGCATAGTTTTTTCAGAGCCTAGAATTCTCTTTCAAAGAGTTGAAAGGTAGCCAGAAGAAGCCTAGAGCTGCCGGAAGCCTCAAAGGTAATTTGAGCCAAGCGCCTGCTGATACAGGAATGCACTGCTGCAGCAAGTGAGCTCTCTATAGATGAGAAACAATTGTGGTCCAGTAGTGAGGAAACACGGATGGATTAGGGATGTGTCCAAACAGGGAAGTTCATTTGAGTGGCCTGATTTGCCCGTTCACTTCCAATCCAGTGCTTGAAAACAGGCCAAGCTGAGGGGGTTGCAGACTTCCATTTCCAAGATGGGTCACAGTTTGTATATTAAAAAAAAACTTCCAATGGAATTTGCACAATTAAGTACCCCAAACCATATGGTTCTAGCTAGTTTTGTGCACAATTGCCCCCCTATCAGATTTCCCACAAATCCCTAGCTGGTCTCTATGAGAGAGGGACAATTCCACATCTCAGAATATTTGGAGCCATTCAAAGACACTGGCTAATTTCAAACGTATCTCTGCAACCATGAGGACTAGATGCTTTAAAATAATGTATTTTTAACTCTCAGTAAACTAAATTAAATATTGTACATCCTGAATTGTTGAGCATAACTTTTTCAGGGCAGCAAATAAATACAGTAACAAATAAACAACGGTAACAATTAAGATGGCTTTAAAAAACAAAAACACAGATTGTTTTCAATAGCTAGTTATCACTTTGCAGAAAACCTGCTGTGCTAAAGGATGCAGTCCTGAAACCCATTTATGTACATGCAAAAGAACTGCAATTCTGAAACACAGGTTGGTTATTTCCTCCTCTGTTCCAGCTCCTGCTATTGTTGTGCCACCGAAAAGGATTCACAATGTAACTGGGGCCCAGGTGTACCTCTCCTGTGAAGTGAAGGCAGTCCCAACGCCCGTCATCACCTGGAAGAAGGTATGTTAAACTCTGCCAAACATTTCACGAGGTAGGTGGCTGAAGCCATGCCTGTCTTACTTCTGACTTCAGTGTGCTATTCTTGCATAACTTATGGAAAGTCGATCTAGGCTTGCAGACTGCCATGCACAATTGCATCCTGCTGAACTCGGATCATCTGCAACGCCCTTCCCCAAGCTGATGCCTACCAGCTGCAGTGGATTACAGTTCTGATCCTCCCTAGACAATATGGCTATTGTTCCACCACCTCTGCTGTGTGGGTGATTCATGTGCAGGGCCTGTAGCAGAGCCGTCAGACCTCAGGCCCCCATGCCAAATCCGGCCTGCCTGGGATTCCAGTCTGGCCTTCTGGGAATCCCCGAATAGCTGTGCCCTTTCCTGGATGGCCAATCACTTGGTGCTTTCCCAGCTTTTACCAATTTCTCCCCTTTCTCAGTGGTTGAAATGCCCCTAAGACTTCGTTACAGACTGGAGCTTTAAGCAACGATACGGGGGGCCTATTTTGGGCCCACCCCCTTTGTCCCTGGTCCTGCCTACCCCTTGCATGCAGCTCTCGGGAACTTCACTGAAAGCGGTTTGACACCCCGATCTCATGTTCACAGAGCTTGAGTAGTTCTGCTTGAGCCTGGTGCCAACACAGGAGGCCCCTGCCGGCATTTTATGCTAGAAACAGCTGCAGGAACCAAGCAGCCTGCAAACGGCACACGCTCCCATGAGGACTGCTGCTGGGCCACTGGCTAACCAGCCCCATCCTACTCCCTTGGCCTGACAAGCCTGCCAGCCAGGGGAGGCCAAAGTGTTTCTGGTAAAATGGACCGACAAGAGGTTGCTAAGTGATGGAGAGAAGGTTCCCCGTCCTTTGTGGTTTGATGGCCAGGGCTGCAAATGCCCTGAAAAGCTAAGGACTGGGTAGTGCAACAGTGACGACGACTGGGGAAGCTCAGTCCATTTATGAAGGCCACGGTTCATGACTGTGTCTGCATTTTAAACCTCTTGAATTGGTATCCCAAGTGTGTTCACATTGCCAAATACTGCAGGTCACGGAGTCCCCGAAGGGAGTTAAGCTCCTTGAAGAATTGCCTGGAGACAGAGTCAATGTGGCTGTCCAAGTGCGAGGTGGTCCCTCTAAACATGAGAGCACGGGCTGGGTTTTGGTAAGTCCATGCAGAGGGGGGAGGGGAGACAATGATGGTGTGGCGGCCATTGGGGGGAGAATTGTTTTTCCAATGAGGGATGCATTGCCTTAGGGTGCAGGCAATCCGCATCCCCACAGGTCCTTTTTTGTACCACTCATGGCTCCCTGCTGCAAAAATTGTGGCTGCAGAGCCAAAATACTGATGATTTTGCTCAAAAAGAGGAAAACCACCCAGGAGCACAATTATGCATCCAAACAAGGTGTGCATTTCTGGCTAAAACTCAAGTGATGTTGTCAAAGCTCCTAATTAACCTGTGAGGAATTCACATTTGCTGAACTTCAAATGCTTGACTGTATTCCACGTGGCATCTCCTCTGCTCCTCCACCTTCCAAGTGCAGTTTCCAGCAGGCAGTGCAGTCAGGTACATGCACACAGCAACTGAGACACACACTTGCCAGCATTCTGAGCTGGGGAAAACAATGAGGAAGCAACACTAATTTGACTTCCTGAATGCTTCCTGAGAGAAGGTGTGATGATCAAGCCAAATGAAATTGAGCTGAGGATTACTGTTCACTCGTCTCTTGTTGTACAGGGGAGCATGCAGCATAAAAAAGAACAGTGACAGATTTTATTTTCCTGGGCTCCAAGAGCACCGCAGATGGGGACTGCAGCCAAGAAATTAAAAGACACTTGTTCCTTGGGAGGAAAACTATGGCAAATTTAGACAGCATACTAAAAAGCAGAGACATCACCCTGCCGACAAAAGTTCATATAGTCAAGGCTATGGTTTTTCCAGTTGTAATGTATGGCTGTGAAAGCTGGACCATGAGGAGGGATGAGCGCCGAAGAATTGAGGCCTTTGAATTGTGGTGCTGGAGGAGACTCCTGCGAGTCCCTTGGGCTGCAAGGAGATCAACCCTGACTGCTCTTTAGAAGGCCAGATACTGAAGATGAAACTCAAATACTTTGGCCACCTAATGAGAAGGAGGGACTCACTGGAGAAGAGCCTAATGCTGGAAACAATTGATGGCAAAAGAAGGAGACGGCCAAGGATGAGGTGGCTGGATGGAGTCACTGAAGCAGTCGGTGTGAGCTTAGGTGGACTCCAGGGGATGGTGAAGGACAGGAGAGCCTGGAGGAATGTTGTCCATGGGGTCGTGATGGGTCAGGCACGACTTCGCGGCTAACAACAATCTATTTGTCAGTGGTATATACAGGCACTAATGCTTTTTGTTGCTGCAGCTATTTTTCCTGTGCTTTCCCTAGATTAATCCCCTGACAAAAGAAGATGAGGGTGTTTACCAGTGTCATGCTTCAAATATGATAGGAGAAACACAAGCAGAAGGGAACATCAAAGTCCTAGAACAAAGCAAAAATAAGGCTCATTTCCCTCTGTCAGAAGACGTGAAGTAGCAAGGTAAGGTTATTACTACCAGTCCTCTTTGATTCTGGGAATGCCAGATTGTGTGGACTCCCAGTTAAATAACTCACAGCCTGCAGTTAAATACTTGCTTGTACATGGTATTTTACAGCAGGGATGGGGAACTTGTGGCCTTCCACCGATGCCAGAATCAATGTATTAAGGTGTCCCAAGACCCACTGCTATTATTGCTAGAAAAACAGTCCTCCCATCCTGCACGTTTTTACAGATCGTTAGCCTCCCTTAAGATTGGCCAAGCAAGCCCTGCTTAGAGTGCAGCTGCTTTTGATGGTACAAGGCACAGGATTTGGTTAGCAGCAGCATCCCCTCTCCTAACCAAATCTCTTCCCCATGGAGCCCTGTTTCTTATGGGGAAGAGATATAACCATCTCTCTTCTGCTGCAAGAGGTGGATATAGTTTTCCTAATTTCTGACCAGTGGTATTTTTGCTTGATTTTCAATTGCCGATTTGGGTGTTGACTACTTGGATCAGACTCCAGGGGAACTAGGGAGCATGTCCAGGTCTCCTACGGTTGAAGAACCAAATTGAGACAGGGTGGGGCAATAGCAGCATCCTTTCTGCCTCACTTTCATTGCTCATGGCTAGCCTTTCATATTTCACCCACTTTCTTGGTCCAGGATATGCTCCATCAGATCAGGACAGCACAAGAATGGCAGCTGAATTGCAGCCCTTCTGTGTGTAGAGTTTTGAGGAAATTCCACACAGCTTGTGTGCATGCTGTTCTACCCTCTTTGTGGGAACAAAGGCTTGTGAAAAATGGGAGTACGGAGTGGGTAAATACTCTCCCATCTATGTCCACAATACTCTTCTTGGATTCTAAGATGTGCCACTGAATGGATGCCACTTTTTTCATCCTGTCACAAGCAGCCCACCAGTATCTGAGACGCACTCAGTGTGTGAATTGCTGGGAGAGCAGAAGCTTTGTGTGCTTTTATTGCTGAACTCAGCAAGGAAGATTCAAGACGGTGGGGGAAGGCAGGGGATAAAATCAGAAACCAGAAAAGGGGAGATATAAGAGCTGGTGCTGATGCCAGAGGAGAAAATGTTTTCTGGGTGCAGAGATAAAGCGGGGGGAGGGCAGAGAGGGATGTGGAAAAAGGAATGCACTGTGGACTGGAAGAAAAGAAAGCATTAACAGTTCAGAACAAGAGGCAGAAATGTGTGCATACAATTACATCCCAACCAAAAGCATCGTAGAATACAGAGTTAGTGAAGGATCTTTTAAGGAATGCAACTAAAATGGCAACAAACTGACTTTGAGTTTTACATCTCTGCCTTGGAACATACAGGTAGTGTAAAATGTACTTCATTTACATTTTGTGGATTGTTAGGTGGCTTTTGTTCTGTCATCTGCTCATTGATGGAATCAGATTTTTCAAAAATCCATTCTTAAGCAACTTCGCAAATTTCTGGACGTGTACAAATCCACCCCAACTATGCAAATCATGCCAGAATATGTTCACACTTACATGGGAGAAGCACATTATAATTTTTTGACAACCAAATTTGCATATTTTTTTAAATAAAACAGCTCACAGAATCCTCAAGACGTGATTTTGCACAATCTGCAGTGGGAATACTTTCCCGACAACTGACACACAATGCGGGTAGGTGCTGTGAGAGGCTGGGAAAACTTGCATCTACCCAGCAGCAGACCTCAGAATCCAAGAAGGGGAAGAGGAATGCGGACGCAGAGAAGGGCGTTGCCCACTCTGTACTCCACTGCAGAATATGCAAGTCAGGTTCTTAAAAACATGCGTCCACTGCAGATTTTTCCAACATCCCCACCTCTGCTGCAGAATGTTTGTACAGATGGATCATTAATGTCATCAGATAATTGTCTTTCTTTTTTTCCTCTAGAAACAAAATATGAGCTGAGCTAGAAACCACTGAATTAGTGATTTGTTTTCCTACTGGCTGAAGACCAGAAGACACTATCTTGATGTTCTTCTTGATTAATGGCGCAGTTTGTACCTTTTGCTAGAGTGTCTGCGTAATACTGAACGTGTAGCTGAACAGTGCAACAAATGCTCATTAAAAGCATGTTTTTTAATATTTTAATTTTTTCCCTTTTTATTGGCACTTTAGCCAAGTAGTCCTCACAAAGACCTATTCAACTAAACACATATTGAAAACAGAGCACTGAGTGACATCTCTCCTCATTGCAATTTATTACTGCTACAAATTGCAAGTGGAAGGGATTGAGAATGTCATCATCTTGACTTCTGTGTTTAATCTTTGAAGAAATGGATGGCCACCTTTTTCTGTACCTGCTCCTTTAACCACAACCTTTCATGCAGAATTTAAAATCCCTTTCAATGTCGTAACAGGATGCTGTTAAGGACACAGGAACAGAGGTAGGAAAAAAGGTTGCATCTCCCTATAGCAGCAATTCTATGTGCACTTACCTGGGAGTAAATTTAATTTAGCTTCATGGGACTTACTTCTGAGTAGATATTAATAGGGCCACCCTCTACCATTATTACAGACCTCCCATCAGGTTTTGCATTTTTGGTATCACTTGTCCAACATAACAGCTCTTGATGCTTACTTAGAAACCTTTTTTCAGACTTTGCATTAGCCTGCATAGGAAAGGTAATGCTGTTTTATATGGCACTACACTGCTACATAAGACCATAAGACCACTTTCTAATAGTTGATACATTCTCTCCTCACAAACCCAGTTTGCTCCTGATCAAAGAAATCTATACAAGATCAGTGTGACAGCTAAAATACCTATTCAAATATGATCATGCCAGAGAATCATTTGGAAGAGAAAAATAGCAGGCTGCTGCCACCTGCTGGCTAATGTCATATGCCAAGCAGCAATACAATTAAAGGCAACTGGTGCTGTAGCTGTTACATCACTGATTTATGCTGTCACTAATATGTAAATTTTGCTGTCACCCTGCCAATTTAACTTATATGCAGAGCACAGCATGTGAAAGGCGGGGCTAGATGAATCACAAGTTGGAATTAAGATTGCCAGGAGAAATATCAACAACCTCAGATATGCGGATGATACCACTCTAATGACAGAAAGTGAAGAGGAACTAAAAAGCCTCTTGATGAAAGAGGAGCGCACAAAAGTTGACTTTAAACTCAACATTAAGAAAATTAAGATCGTTGCATCTGGTCCTACCATGTCCTCGCAAATAGATGGGGAAGAAATGGAGGTAATGACAGATTTTATTTTCTTGGGCTCCAAGATCACCGCAGACAGTGACTGCAGCCAAGAAATTAAAAAATATATATTGAGCCCAAATGTCACAAGCAACAGCATGGGAGCCACCATAACGTGGTGGCTTCCCATGTAAAGTAATAATGCCAACAGTGCCTATGGTTTTAAATGGTGGCAACATGAGAACAGCCTTTTTACTATGGTTCCCCTGCTTCTGCTTCTAGAACACATGATGCCTAAGCTAGCCTCTTCGTATTGTGGGGTGGTAAACTGCACAAGACATACATCTGTTTGACATACTCCTTTCTAAACATGAGAATATTTTCCCCCAAATAGACAAAGAATGAGTTAAATTGCACCTTCCTGTTCATGTCTCCCAGCAACTGGTGTTCAGTGACATATTGCCCTCAGTACTGGAGGAAATTTAGTCACCATGACCATTAGCCACTGATAATCTCATCCTCTATTAGTTTGTCTAATTCTCTCTTAAAGCTGGCCATGTTATTGGCCATCACTACATGCGGTAGGAGTAATTTCATAGCTCAATTATGTGCTACAAGAAGTTCTTCATTTTATTATGAATTTCCTACCACCAACTGCCTGTGATAACCCCAGGATCTAGCACTGAGAGGCTCTCTCTACCCACTGTTGCCATTCCTTCTGTATTTCTGAAATGAAAAGCTCCAAACATAACCATTTCTCACTGGAGACCTGCTTAATCATGCTGCTTACCATTTCTATATCTCTTCCAGTTCTTCAATGTTCTGTGTCTCAGGTGCAGCAGAGTGATCCACAGTATTTCCAACTGCGGTCACAAAATAAATTTGTATAGAGGCATTTATATTGCTAGCTTTTTTTCAGTTCCATTCCTAACAAACTTAATTCCATTTTCAGTTTCATTTACATTGAATCTGCATTTTTCACAACAAACATCACACAGAGTCAACGTTTTCATCAAGTTATCCAGCACAACCTCAAGGTATGTCCTGGTATAGCGTAACTGCCAACTGACATCCCATCAGTATACATGTGGTTAGAATTTTTGGCCCCAGTATGCATCACTTTACACTTGATGACAACTTACAAGTTAACTTAGTCTCTGCCCACCCAGTTCAGAGAGATCCTTTTCAGACTCTTTGCTGCTCCTTTTTTGATCTAACTGTTCTAAATAGTTTGGTATCTACTCTGAATCAAGGACAAGTTAACTTACCTCAAGTACTAATGTGGAGTACCTGAATGTTTTCCATGCTGCTCTCTTCAGCCACCTTGCATGCAATGACACCTTGATTTCCTGGACAAGCAGGAAGGCCAGTCACCTTCAACAGTGATGCAACCATCTGCATTCTGGAAAACCTCTAGAACACTAGTCACTGGTATCCAGTCATGCCACACTTCTGCTGACCTTATCTGCACCTGTTTGGAATAGTGTTTGGAATGGTAGTGGGTGAAAGGGAGGAATTCTACTCTTAACTCAGCATGACTAGGTTTACTGTAAACACTGGCAAAGCATTATAATTAAAACCTATGTTCAACTTTATTCCAGTCATTAAAGCTTCACACAACAAGATTCAGAGTGAGAATATCACTGTAATACTTCAGAGATTGCAAAGCACTGTTTACAGTCACCAGGTTTCCCAAAACAAAAGTGAACATAATTTTTGAACAAGAATACATGTGTACCAACACAGAGAAGCAGCATCCTGACACATGGCAGTAATGGGGACAAAAATTTGTTCCCGCTTTTCAGCACTTCTATAGCTTCCCACATCTCTCTGTAGGAAATGTTTGGATCTCTGTCAATTTTCAGTCTCTTCCACTGAAAACCAACCACAGTCTAACTTGGTCTTCTCTGCAGGCCACCTTTGAAGCTTTTCTGTTCTCATATGCTGTCCAGCTTCTTTAAGATATATGGAGCTGAAGAAAAGAAACACCATGATTAAGCTAGTTTTCATCACATCTTGCAACAATGAATTCCTTAATTCCCATGAGTGAAAAAAGGCCAACTACATTCTGAATTATGCACCCCTGCACTTGAAATGGAGACATTTCTACCCCAGTCTCGGTTTAATAGTCTATTCCATAAAGAATGTCTTCTGACTTGTTAAATCACCTCTACTATTACCTCACCTGAAATCCTTATATTGTGTATTTTCCCCGAATGCAGTAATGCGACTTTACCCCGTCAGGGGGAGAGGGTTGAGGGCCTCCTGGTGTATCATTCTCAACATCCTAGTAAACTGAGCTCACAATCCACAAGAACTACTCCGGGCGTTCAATAACGTCTGAATACCGACACTGCCTGACAGCTATTTGACCATCCAAAAGGGGCCGGGCGGCACGTGCCCTCGAGGCGCCTCTCTCGAGGGCGCGCGCAAAACGCTCACCGATGCGCAGCGCCACCACGTAGAGGAGGAATGTGCGGACCGACGAGAGGACGTCCTCGCGCATCTTCCGCTTCAGCTCCTCCGGGTCCAGCTTGGGCCCCAGCCCCTCGATGCGGAACATGGCCTGGCCTCGCCGCCTCCCCTCCGCAGCGCTCCCGTTTCCACCAGCCGCGGCAACGCCTCGCCTCCTCCTTCTCCGGGCCAGAGCAAAACGGACAAGCAAACCCCGCGAGGCTTCTCGGGAAAGTTCTTCCTTCCTTCCTTGCCCCGCCCACTATACGGTCACCCGTTGGGGACAAACCTCTTCCTTCCACCATCGGCCTCCTTTTCTACCCATCGTCACACCCTGCTGTACCCTGCCTCAGCACTTCCGGTTTAAGAACGAACGGGCTTTCGTCTCGTAAATGTCCATCGGGAGCCGCAAAGGTTTCGCCACAGATGAGCTAAGTGATGGGGTGATGTCCCTCGGTACCCGTGAAGAATCATGGAAACGTTTAATGTATCTCGGAAGTGACATGCCTATCTTTTTTCGTAACTCTATGTAGGCGTTCACCTGCTCATACGGAGGCCCTTCGGCTCTTAGCGGGTATCGGGCGCTGGGGGCGGGGCTTACGTGCCCTCTCACGCTCCCCCCCCCCACGCGGACAGGTGAGTGCCTGCACAGAGATATAGAAAAAGTGTAGAGTCACACGTGGCTAGTGTCTAGCTCTTTAGGTTGTGAGGAACTGTCAAGACACGCGGCCGGAGTCGAGAAGAAGAGCGGAGCCGCGTGCTAAGGGCGCTCCTTCCGGCGAGGTGGCTCCCTCCCGTACGAGCTGCGCGCTGTTCCTCACGACCGAGCAGGGCTTTTTCCCACCGATACGTGTAATGAACACACGGAATGCACATGCACACACGAGCAGACGCTTCGTTTTCTCTCTGCCCTCAGAAAAGCATGAAGAAAGCCAGGATAGCATCAGCACAGAACCTCCATCTCCACTCCGCCCTGCAGTCAGAAGGGGGCATCGTAGACGGCATCTTACTGGGGAAAATCACAAGCGCGACACTTTGACAGACAGTACACTCCCAATTGAGAAGAAAAGGAAGCGGGACTGAAAGGAACATTTGGGCTTCCCTGTTTTTTTAAAAAAGATACGGGTATACTTTTATACACACTTTTCACGACCATATTCTCAGTTTTGGTATTGTTCTTGATGGAGAGTAGTAAGTTCCTTTCCCAGGGGATGGAGGAGAATGTAAAGGAGTCAGGAACTTGCACAGGTGAATAAGAAAATGCAAACCTGACTGCCACATGACTGGATTTCTGGATTATTTTTCAGAGACTTCCCTTATTAGATTGGGAGCAAGGCCAACTTCTTAGAAAACACAATGGGGAAATCCAGGAATTTATAGCTGCATGAATTTATTTCATCTTGTACATCCCCACACGCCAAGGAGATGAATACATAAAAGCAAAGACAGAACTTCATGTGCTTTCAAACTCAGGCCTTCTTCCTTGTATGTTATCTTCCAAATGCTTCTCATAAAATGGCCAATATTGTTATCCAACATCATATTTGAAGTCACATTAATTGTTCGATATCTAATTCAAGTGGATGCATCAAGCTTAAATGAAATTATGCCCATATCAAAGATCTGCTGCTTTTCAGCAGGCTTCTAAAGCCCTTGCATCTTTAAACAGAAAATGTCCTGCGCCTCCCAGTGCCTGCAGACCCAGCCATGCATAGGGTTGCATCTTTAACATTTCAGCTTGCTTCAATTCACAAAAGCTACTGGGTGAAGAAAATATGTGCAAAGCAAAGTAATAGGCCAAAGGCAAGGAACAGTTGGAATACGATGGAGCATCAAGGCCTTCCATCTGTCCAAACAGCCAGAACAGGTTGGGAGACAATCCCCTAATGCAGCTGACCTTGATCAGAAATCTTCCACTGGAAAGGATACTTGTGCACCCCACTGTGATCACCACAAGGTATCACACCAGGAGTGTAATTCAATTGTAGCACAATATGGATTCCATTCTTGCTTCCTGTGATGTTAAGACAATTAATGAAACAAGCATCAGGATCAACTTAAGAAAACATCTGTCACTCCATGGAACAAAACTTGCATGTCCTTCTGGAGACAACATACTTGGTGGTTTCTTTCGTCATTGCGGCTCTCTGTGCATTCCTGCCAAGAGCACTTGCAGGTAGTTGCGCTGGTCCATTAGAAACGAATATCCCAAGTTCAGCAGCCTGACATCACCTTCCTTTTTTAATGGATAAAGCAATGGTTCTCAAAGAAGTAAATCTAAACCAGCACTGTTCTTTCTGGCCCTTAGCACAGCCGGATAAAGTGTCTCTTGACATTGTGATAAGTGGTACGAAACATTTCATCAGCTTCATTTCTTCATGTTCCTCTTAAAGGCAGAAGTTCACAGTCAGATGCAACAGTAGCAGTGCTGTGATCAAACAGTCATAGTCCCAGGTGGATCAGCAATTCCTGTTTTCCATTGACTAGGATCATTTGAGTGGAAATGAATGCCAGGCTTTGTCCAGGCCTGGCCCAAGGCATTTGGTTGCCTGAGGTAGAGCAGCACTTGCCTCCCTGCCACCTCCAAGGCTGATACCCAAGGCAGAAAAATCTCCTGCAGTATAACAGTAAAACTACAGCAATAATAATCACTAACAATCTCTTGCCTTTCACATCCCCTAAAGTCAGCTGCTTCTTGTGGCCTCCCTACTCCCCTTAATAGTAGGGGGTTGTTTGTAGCACATAGAAAACAACTTGTAGTAGGGGGTTGCTTGTAGTACATAGTAGCTTCCAAGTGTGAGCAGGAAGCAAAGCTGCCTCCAGATTTGAGTAGATCCCTAGCAAGTGTTTTCTGTCGGGCTGCCTGTTTGGTGCCTCCCGAGCTGTGGATATATCCCATGGTGCAACTAGAGCTGGACCTTGGAGCCAGAATCCAGGACCCACAGGTGGCCACCAAGAAGGCAGCAGATGCCAAAGGCAAGAGAAGCGGACTCCATTCCTGGCATCATCATAGTGCTGTGATTTAAGTCAGTTTAAAATGCAAAACTGCACACATTCAGTCTTTCCAAACATTCTAACCTATCTGGAATATAGAAGCAGTAGTTAAGCTTGGGGCCGTGGTAGTGGAGGGAAGAGAAATGTCATTGACTTCACAATTGAAGCAACACCAAAAGGTGTCAAGAAGGGGGCCCACAAGACCACTAAATCCAGGATCTAAAATTACCTAGCTGCACCACCAAATTTGCCCAGCAATGGCAGCATCTGGATCTGAGAAGCTGCTCACCATTTGAATGGGCAACAACGTCCTGGAGTGGCACTTGTCTCCAGTGTCCCAGGACATGGGGGGAACTATAAGACTCAAATACTCAGATGCCTCTAGTTAAAGCAACGAGTGGGCAGAAGAATCTGTGGGTCACAAACGCAGGAGGGGCAAGCCTTCCTCAGCAAGCCTTGAATGGATCAGGAGTCAAACACAGCCCCATAGCCCCTGTGGTCCCTGTGCCAAGTCTGAGTGCCAGCTCAGGTTCTGGAGAATTCTTGGGAAAGGCATCTTCCGTGAGCCTGTCTTCTCACTGCCGTCATCACTTCCTCCTTTTTCTTCTTTTTGACCGCATGGCTGGCTTGGTGGGCAGGAGCCTGGGGAGCAAGCAGGTGGCAGCATCTCCTCCACCCTCTTCTCACCACAGAGCAAGACATGGCTGAAGAAGAAGGTTGCAGTGGGGACGGCAGGAGCAAGGCCAGCAGGCTGTTGTCCATGGGGCGCTGCTGGAATGTGAGTCCCAGACAGATACCCAGCTGTGCCTGCTTCTCATGCCCGTGGACTGATCCTCAGTGACTGAGAGGAGTTTCCCCCACACCTGAACTACTTTAGGGTCCCTCCAGGGCTGGAGTGAAGTCATGGAAGTGCTTCGTCACTGCTGCACACTTGAGCCAGGCACTTATACAAGATGGAGAGGAAGGTTGTGGTGTCTAGGGAGTAACATTCACACATCGGCTATTAGAGGTGATCTATAATTCATTCTGACTCCTTTGGCTGGCAGAGGTCGAAAGTGCTGTGGAGGCAAATCCCTGCACCCTTGGGAATGCGGGTGGAGGAGCAGGGAGGATCGGCAGACGGCACACATGGCCTGGCCAACTGGGACAACCAGCTCTAACTTGAAAGGGACTCCAGGGAGGAAGGAAGGTTTTGAGAGTGGGATCTTTCAGAATCTGTTCTCCTCCCCTCCATTCAGGAACAAAAACACCAAAGAACACTCACCATTAAAGCCTTAAGACTCTTTTAAATGGTGAAGTCAAACTAAACATTCTTTTAGGTGCATTCTCTAGAATCTGCTCACATTTGTTGCTAGACAAGAAATTGCTGTCTCACTTCTGCCTTCTAAGCTCTGTTTTCCAGCTGAGGCTGGAGGCCAGAACTGTAACTCCTGCATTTTATTTCTTCAAAAATAGGAGAATCGGCCATTGCACCTTTGTCCCAACAGGTCTGAAAACACCATGGCATCCAGCAGAGCCTAAGCCAGGTTGAGCTGGTGGGCAGTGATGGAAGTTGAGACCCACATCTGGTGACAACAGGCTGGGGGAGGCTCCCCTAATCAATATGTCTGCAAGCCTTTCTCCCTTCCATCGTAAGGTTCTGATCATGTAGGCATCATGCTGTTAACACTGAGTCAGTGTTTTCCCTTGTTGTCCCACCCTGCTTTTGTGCAACTTCTTGCCTTATCTAGGGACCTTGCAAATGTGCCCGGTTCAATTTTGGCATCCAATTTTGGAATGTCTTCAGCCTCTGTGTGTCACCTGAACAATTGATTCTTTTTCCTATTTTTGGTAAGCCAAACAAGTTCATTTTTCCCGGCAATTGGGTTGATCCTTATCATCAAAACCATCTTCATCGTCACCAAGAGCAGGTCCTTTGTAAACAAATGGATCTTGAAGTGCAATCATATGTGTTTCTAAACAGAAAGAAGTCTTACTGGTGTTCCCAAGTCAACATCACTGGATGGAGAGATCCTAGCCATTGTAGGACTTTTGTCTAAACATGCACAGTTCTCACCTTTCATTGTCCTTTCAAGACTAAGCCATCCCTAAATAATTGCATTCCAACAGGAAACAGTGTATTATTGCTGGGAAAACTCATTTCTCCTACAGTCAGGGCTGTAGCTATGCTCAGAGGGAACAAGAAAGTCTAACAGTGGCAGATTACATCTGCTCAGAAAAACATCACAGTGCCTTAGCCCCTAGCTGCAGTCCCTCCTGGGTAATTTTCAGCCTGGCTAGATGGTTCATAGGACTCTTCTTTTTTTAAAAAAAGTCCCCTTGATCAAGTCAGCAGGCAGTCCTACAAGCTAGGGGCACCTTCAGCTAAGTCCCTCAATGCAGCGAGTCAATGATAAAGGTTTTGTCTGGAGAGCCACAAGTTGCTGGACCCTGGTTTATAATGGTGAGGTAGAAAGAGAATTGAAAGCTTGCTTAACATGAAAGAGGCTTCCTGCATAGAACAAAATGTAGTGTACAGTCACACTGAGCTATGGCCTGCCATTATCAGAGAGCAGAGAGCACAGGGGCATTTACAGACAGGGAGCAGTTTCTTAAAAGATCCACCAAAGACATGGGAGGCATTGTGAGCACCAGGAAAGCAAGGTGGGAAACTGGGCCAGAAGAACTCAATGATCCTCCATAGACAAAGGATGATTTTTCAGCAGGACTCATGCGCTCTTCTTTCTTTCTCCACATGCATCACTTTTGAACCACCCAGTAAGCAAAGCTCTCTGGTTTCATTTATAGATAAAATGCATAATAACAAGGGGAAAAACAATACAAGAGCACTAGAGGAAACCAAAATAAAGCCTGCAACAGGGATAAATACAACACTCATCTGATAAATCCAAAGGCAAAATCAATATAGGAAGAAATAACTGCTTGAGGGGAATAAAAGCACCTCAAAAATATAATGAGAGTCCTTTGGAATTTTCTGGGAAGGGCCTTACACAGCGGGGTGCCACCACTGAAAATGCCCTCTATCATTTAAATGATAGTGATTAAATGTGCATATATACATACCAATATACAAATTAGTACTTTGTCCCTCTGTGGGTGCGTGCGCGAGTGTGTGTGTGTGTGTGTGTGTGTGTGTGGTATTTCATTTTTTTCAGGGGCAGAGGGGATGCATAAGCAGAATCATGCAGATTTTGTTAAATCCATTCTGTTTGTCTCCCACAGATTGTGGGAAGTCTTTGTTCAGATGTATTACATGAGAATTTCTTTCATTTGCAAAGGCATACTTGTGTAAATGTGAGTGCACACTTCTGCAAGTACACATTTGCACAAATTGTTTCCCTGGTCCCAAAAGTGAAAACAATGATCTGTGAATTCACACGATTTGGAAAAAGCCAGTCTGCTGCTGAAGATGCAGGCCAGATTCACAGAAATCAGAACTGACTGAATCTGTTGTGGATTTCT